ATGAGACTCTGAGTATTGCATTAGAGTGCTGAGAAGCCAAAACTAAAGGAAGAAACCAAGAAATCAAAGAGCTTAACAGAAAATTTCAAAAGGCAGCCCAGGATGACAAAGCAAGATACTATAATGAAATGTTCAGAGAGCTGGAGTCAGAAAATCAAAAGGGCCGAACTTGCTCAGCATTTCTTAAGCTGAAGGAGTTGAAAAACAAATTCAAGCCACGGGTGGTAATACTTAAGGATATTTTGGGTAGAATGTTGAATGATCCAGGAAGTTTCAAGAGAAGATGGAAGGAGTACACAGAGTCACTATATCAGAAGGAATTAGCTGACACAGAAGAATTTAATGAAATAACATGTTAGCAAGAGCCTATGGTGATAAAAGAGGAAGTTCAAATAGCTCTGAAGGAATTGGCAAAAAACAAGGCTCCAGGAGTTGACAACATACCAATTGACATATTTCAACAAACAGACACTGCCCTGGATGTGCTCACTAAGTTGTGCCAAGAAATCTGGAAGACAGCCAACTGGCCAACTGACTGCAAAAGATCGATACTTGTCCCCATTCCAAAGAAAGGTGACCCAACAGAGTGCAGAGATTATCGAACAATATCATTAATATCACATGGAAGCAAGATTCTACAGAAGATTATCCAAAATCGTTCAGAACAATATGTCAACAGAGAACTGCCAGATGTGCAGGCTGAATTTAGAAGAGGTCGTGGTACTAGGGATATTATAGCTAATGTTAGATGGATCTTTGCATAAAGCAAAGAATACCAGAAGAATGTCTATCTGTGCTTCACTGACTATGCAAAGGCTTTTGACTGTGTGGATCACAACAAGCTGTGGCTGCCTCTGAGAAAAATGGGAATCCCAGAACATTTGATTGTGCTAATGTGAAACCTATACTTGGACCAAGAGGCAGTTGTCAGAACAGAGCAAGGAGACACTACATGGTTCAAAATCAAGAAGGGGATACATCAAGGATATATTCTGTTTCCATACCTTTTCAATCTGTATGCAGAACAGATCATCTGAGATGCTGCGCTATATGAGGAGGAATGTGGCATCAGGATTGGTGGAAGAATTGTCAACAACCTGCTTTATACAGATGATACGACCCTGCTCGCTGAAACTGAGGAGGACCTGAAGCACTTGCTGCAGAAGGTCAAGGACTGCAGCCTTTATATGGCTTGAAGCTCAGCATCAAGAAAACTAAGCTTTTCACCACTGGGCCAATTGGCAGCATCAGTATGGATAGTGAAGAGATTGAGATAGTTAACAGTTTTAGTTTACTTGGCTCTACAGTCAACACTCACTCTCTATACCAGAAAAAAAATATCTATTTTGTTTTATTGAGTATGCAAAGGCATTTGATTTGTGGATCATAGCAAACTATGGTTAAAATTGAGAAGAATGAGAATCCCACAACACTTAATTATGCTCATGTGAAACCTGTATACCTAGACCAAGAAGCAGTTGTCCAAACAGAGCAAGGGAACAGTAAATGTTTTAAAGTCAAGAATGGTGTGCATCAGGGCTGTATCCTTTCTCCATATCTATTTAGTCTGTATGCAGAGCAAAGCAAATCATTCAAGAAGCTGAATATTATGAAGAAAATTGTGGAATCAGGATCAGAGGAAGAGTCATCACCAACCTGTGCTATGCAGATGACACAACCTTGCTTGCTGAAAGAGAGGGAGAATTGAAGCATGTGATACAGATGATCAGAGGCTACTGTCTTAATATGGATTACATCTTAACATCAAGAAAACAGAAATCTTCACTACTGGGCCAATAGGCAGCATAATAACAGATGGAGAATAGATTGGAGTGGTGAATGATTTACTTTTACTTAGATCCAGAATTAACACCCTTGATATTAGTAGTAAAGAAATAAAAAAACAATGGCATTGAGGGAATCTGCTGTCAGGGACCTCTCCAAAGTTCTGAAAGGCAAAGATATCAGTTCAAAGACTAAGGTATGTTTGACTGAAGCCATGGTCTTTTTTTTAAAAAATTTTTTATTTTGTGTGCGTGTACCGTCAAATCAGATCTGACTGGTACAGGAGGATATTGCGCCTCCTTCTCCGGCAGAGCGTCTGGTGGATTCGAACCATGTTCCTCTGGAATTGCAGTGCAGCTTCTTGCCACTAGGCCACCAGAGCTCCCCTTGAAGCCATGGTCTTTTCAGTTACTTGCTATGCATCTGAAAGTTGTACAATGAGTAAGGGTAACAGAAGAAGAATCAATGATTTTGAGTTATGGTGCTGGAAATGAGTGTTGAATATCCATGACCAAAAGGGCAAGCAAGTATGTCTTGGAAAAGGTGTGTAGCTAGGGTGCTCTTTAGAGGCAAGGAGAGTGAAACTTCCTCTGACATATTTTGAGAATGTTCTTAGGAGGGGCTAGTCCTTGGAAAAGTACATCATACTTGGAAAAGTGGAATATCAATAATGGATCTCAACACGCTAGATTGACCCATTGACTATAACGGTGGGCTCAAGTGTGTCAGAGATGATAAGGGAGGATGGGACAGGATTCAGATCCACTGTTCATAGGGTCTCACAGCTTTATGTTTTTCGTTATATACTGTTGAATCAGACCTGACTCATTCAGAGGCTGTAAAGTGCACAGGAGGAGATTGTCCGTCTTTCTCCTGCAAAACAACTGTTATGTTCAAACTGTGTGCTACCAGAGTTCTTAGTCACAGGTTCTTAGATGTTCATCATTTACCTCATTGTCTTATGCACAAATAACTTCAAATTTTATTATGGTTCCAGTTCTGTTGTAACGTCATTTTAAGACTGATCATTCAGAATTTACAAAACAAATTGAAAATTTTTTTTATATTGTTGACATGATACACTCTTTAAAACTAAATAATGTTGTTAGAACTCTACAGAATAGAAAAGAAGAACAAACTGAGTGATCTAAATGCTTGTCTTTTCTCCTTTAAAGCTATGGGTAGATTCAAACATCCAGAGAGGCAGGGCCTTGGGATTAACAACTCATTATAGACTAGGCCACTAGAGTTTTCTTGGGAATCAAGAAATATATCTTTAAGGAAGGAAAGAAGGCAGACTTTCATCTGTTTCTTTTAATCCCTCATTTCATTCCTTATAGAAATGGAGAAGGGTGATTGCAAACAATTTTTTGCCACTTTACAGGAGCTATTTCCGCATGACAGCTTATCTAGCAATCTCATGGTAAGGCAAAGCAGGAAAGCTGTGAATCTGAGGTAGGTTCTAGTTCTAACAAGAATGGCTTGGATCGTTTTGAAGTGCCTTTCCCTCTTAGACCTCACTTTGTATTTGATAAAATGCAACAGTGGGACTAGAACAGTTTTATTCCTTCAACTGGCCTGTTCTGTAAATAAATGACATCATTTGACCATTGTATCCATTCTACTTTTTATTTGACATTTATTCATTTGATATATATATACACATATAGAAATCTGTACATGGTAAACATACAAAATAAGTATTTATAAGTTATGCAATTAAAAAACTACATTTTGAAACTTTTAAAACGATTGCCAAAAAAATCTAGTTAATTTTTTATAGCCATTCTCAATAACCTTGGTATACAATATTGATACAACATATGTGTACAAAATAGTGTACAGTTCATAAAAGCTGTGCAAAGACAGCAATGTTCAGATAAAAAAAAAAATCAAAGAGGCTTGTGAGTCTCTCTCTATCCATGTCTCATCCAGTGCTAAGAAGCTTCACAGCTCAAAGACACCTCTCTGGAAATATTTTAGAAAGGGCACAAGATAGAGTGCTTGGTGCATATACTGTAAATGCAGAAATTATAAAGAAAAAGTGTTCAAATGCATAAAGAGAAATAGATACTGACTCCCCTATACAGAGACCTCACTTTTTTCTTCTCACAAAACTTAGAATATGAAAAATATTCAATGTTTATTTGGTGCATCAGACCAGAAAGCGCAAAAAAAATTTTTTCTGTTAAAAAAAATCAGAATTTTCTAGGCCAGATGCTCTGGAAAGTTTGGAAGTTATCAGTACGGGGTAAGGGTATAGGCCCATTGGTACCTAAGATAAGGAGGCAGAATGACCTGCTTGGGGAGTCAGGAGTAGCACTGGAGTTAAATGCTTGGTGTTTTGGCACCAAATTTAGTTCTCTTTTGCTGCAGGGCCTGGTTCATAAACGAAAACAACACAAACCAGCCCCCACGGGGTAGAGCTGGCCACCTTACATGTTGCAGAGTAGAATTGCTCCATAGAGTTTTCATTTGCTTCACTTTAGAAGCAAATCTCCAGGCCCTTCTTCTGAGGCGCCATAGGTGGCTCTGTTGCAAGTAACCAAGCCCTTAACCATTCTCGGCTCTCAGGGACTTTGCTACATAACCAAGCTCTTGTGAATGTGAACCACCGTCTTAGGCCCTAGATCCCCAGCTCTTGGACATGGGGAGAACCCCCCTGGCCCCAAATCCGAGTTAATGTGTGTGCGTGTGGGGGTGCGAAGGGGGTGGGGGGGTGTCTTGAGTAGTGGAAGGGGAAGTGCCTCCCTAGGAAGTCGGGGTGACGGCTCCCCTGTAGTCTGAAAGTGGCTGTGTTTCAGCCTCGGGGCCACAGGGAGCACACACACAGGACCCGCCTCTTCAATTTCAAAGCACTTAAACCAGTGCGGAGGGCTGGGTTCTAGGAAACGGTGATCTCCTCCTCTTCCGCCTCCTCGTCCTCGTCCGAGTCGGAGAAGTCCGAAGGTTTGCCGGGGCTGCTCGAGTGCGCAGGCGACGCGGGAGGCGGCCCTTCCCGGCGCGGCTCGCGCAGGAGCCGAGGGCCGGGGGAGGCGCTGTAGGCCCGGCGGCGGCCAGGGCTGCCGGGGCCCTCTTCTTCCTCCTCATCGTCCCCGGGGCCTTTCTGGCCCACGTCACTGAGGTCCGGGTGCGGGTTGAGCTTGGTGGGGAGGGTCTGCTCGCGGCAGCCCCCGCTAGACAGCAGCTCACGCTCCTTCGAGTTCCGCCACTTCATACGTCGGTTCTGGAACCAGATTTTCACCTGGAAGAGGGGGTGGGGAGGACAGAGGTGAGCGCCGAGGCCAGGGGAGGCCCTGGGGAGTGTGGGGCTCTGTTTGCCTCGCCTGGCCGCCTCCCCGCCCGCCCCTGGGGTGGGTTCTGATGGGTCACATGCTGTGCGCCCTGCCACTCCCTGGGCTTTCTTAACCCCTGATGGTAGGGAGTGGGGGCTTAGGGTGGGGGCAGCACGCGCACAGGTGAAATGGGGAGCTGGTCCGAGGAGCCCTGAGACGCGGGCTCTTTCACTCATGGCCTCTCCGGCCCCTTTTCTCTCTCAGGACCCTTTTCTGTACAATGGGACGCCCTCGCTTTTGGAGACCCCTGCGTGTTGTCAGAGGGAGCGGGTGCTGCTGGGGGATGCTGTGCCCTAACCTGCGAGTCCTTCAGCCCCAGCTTGGCAGCTAGCTTCTTGCGGTCAGGCTTGCTGATGTACTTCTGCTTCTGGAACATCTTCTCCAGCGCCTTGCGCTGCACGTCGGAGAAGACTGCGCGGCGCAGCATGCCCCGGCGGGGTTTGCCTCGGGCGGCCAGCGGCCAGGAGAAGGTGCCCGGCATGGGCACGACGCTGGAGGACGCTGCGGGCAAAGCGGCTGCGGGTGAGAGGCCGCCCCTGCGCGCGGCCTCCCTCGCCCTTTCTCTCGGACCCCTTCATCTCTTTAAAGCTTCCCCCCGCCCAATAGGCCCCAAACCTACAAACCTATGGCAGTGAAAGGCGCTTTCCGCCCAAATAACTTTCCCTTTCAACCGTGCAAACTCGGATTAGATAAAACCACGGAAACAGAAAACAGTCCCCACAATAGCCCGTTTCGTTTCTCATTCATTCAGCGATCCCAGGGAAGCAAACCTATGTACATCCACTACGCGATAGGATACATGACAAAAAGAAATAGAAAATACCAGCGGAAGCCACTGGACTTCTCTAAATGTTTGTCATGTCTGTGGCGTCAACATTTTTTTATATGAGGGAGGAGGGATATCTTGTACTGGTTTGATAGAAAGGAGACTTTACTCTTTGAAAGTTTTTTTTTAAAAAAGGAATCAGTATTCATCTTTTTTTTATATTAATCTTTCCTCCCCTTCCCCAGAAAACGTATAGAATCTGCCCCTAATACATGAAAAGTGGCATCTAATTAGCACATTGACCGCTTCCCAATAGGTATTGGCATGGAAAAAAGGGGGAGAGTTTCGCTTTAAGGGAGGGGGGAAAGACCCCAAAGGAGACAGAGACTCTAATGAAGCATGAATGGTAATTGTGTAGTAATGAACTAACAGAAAAAGACTGAGGACAAGCAGCGAAAGCCATATATTACTGGGACAAAAGAGATTTACACTTTCAAACTAAACACAACTGCAGGCCAAGACCATTGGGAGCATACTGATGGCGGAGGCTTCCCTTCCTCCAGTCATTTTCATTAAATGGACATGAAAAGCGATTTATAAAGCTCGGGTTGTTTTTGTGAGAGCATTGAGAGGAGGGCGAATGGAAATAAATTCTATTATCAGCAGCAGCATGAATGGTTTTGGGGGGAGAGGAGTGGATTCTCCCTCATTTTAAAAAATCAACTGCTTATTTATTTGGCTGATATTTGGAAGTGCGGCCGGGCCTTTCCCATCCCCCACCGCTCATGCACAGGCTCTTTTCTCCTTTCAGGGCTCAGCTGCCTCCTTCCTCTCGCCCAGTTGCAGTGTTTTTAAACCAGTTAGAATCACCCCAGGGGGCTCCAGGATAAAAACCTTGTGGAATGTGTTTCAGGTGTTCCTGCTTTAAGGCTGAGACTCAACCACAGCTTCCTGTTCAAGTCTCCTTATTTGCAAAATTCTGCGTTCTTTAAAGGATGTGGGAGAGGGGAGAGGAGAAGGTGGCTCTGAGGCTTTGGGGAAATCAGGTTATGGCTGGGGGAGGATCCAGTCCCCCTCCCACTGGGCGACCCCAAGCACCCCACACAAGAGGGCACCCCATGTGGTCTTGTGAAAAGCCCAAAACCCTGAATGAGTCTTAAAGAGAAATTAGCCCCGGCTGGTAGGTGTCTCTGGACGGCGTGGAGGGGCGAAGGCCGGTCTGTGTGTGGCTGCCCGGAGGAGCTGACCAATTGGTCATGGTGCTGAAACCTTTGTGGGGAGTCGTGGCCAAGTGCACTGACTCTGTGGGAAAACGGGCGGCGTGAAGGGATGCCAACAGTTCCTCACCGGGAAGGGAACCGCCTCAAATTGGGACCATGACAATTCCTGCTAATTTGTAGAGCAGGGAATTGGTGCAAAGTGTCAAGCAGTCACTGCTTGTGCTAAATAGGGCATCAAATTGGCGCGACGGATTCGTGAATGTTGTACGCCTCGCAACCTCTGAACCAGAGCGTAACCCCGAGGGGTGGACGGAGAAATATGGCTTCGGGGCACCGAGCTCAGGGCCAGGCTGGGGCGCCACCCAGCCTCACACAAGGAAGCAGGCTGAGACCTACCTGGGAAATAAGAAGATCTGATGAAAGGTTGGAAGGAGCCTTCAAAGTAGGGAAAGGCGAAGGTCTTGGGAGGAACACTCTGGAGCAAGGCGGGGGACGTTTCTGGAGAGACAGGGGGCGGATAGACAAGGAGTGTGATTACGTAATTGATTATTGTACACATAGAATGAACACATGACGTGGTCAATCCATCGACTGGTTAGAAAGGCATCTTCCTCAGTGTGTTGGCAAAACACACCATTTGTTGGCAATAGTTCACCTGTGAATTCCTCTTTCTCCCAGTGCCTTCTCTCACTTCTTCCCCAGCCTCATCCCAGACAAAAAGGCCACTGGGCCGGGGGAGCAAAGAACTGCACACCAACAATACTAGTTAATTGAACAAATACATTCTCTTTGGGTTTAACAAAAGCTGGCTCGAGAAGCGTAGGAACTGTAACATAGCGATCCAGCGGCGCACGCTATCTGGGCTGCGAGCGCGAGATGCGCGCTCCTCTCCCACAGTTGTGTGTCCAAGTTCGTTCTGCGATTGGAGCGGGCGGGCCCGTATGCTCTTCTTCCTCAGAATCAGTTGCACCTTAGCCTCACATTGCCCAACCTGAGGTCTCAGAATTCGTGTGTGCACTGATGGGTGCGTGGGCACCAGCTCGGGAGAGGAAGCTGAGGCCAGAGGGACCCTGCACGTATCCCACACCTGGACGAGCCCTCCATGCCCCGCCCTCACTTACCTGTTCTGGGCGCCGAGGAGAGGATGGCGTTCACACCAAACTTCAGAAACGTGGGCTCGCTGGCTGCAGAGACGGCTGTCTGTGGGGAGCTGCCCCGCCTGCTGCTCCGGCCAGGCGAGCCCACGTCCGAGGCCCCCGTGTCGCCGAGGGTGGCAGGGGCCCCTTGCCTGGATGGCGACAAGCTGGCTGTGGGCACGCTATAAGCTGGAGGTCGACTGATGCGGATCAGATCCTCCACTAGGAAGCTGGAATGGCCAGAAAATGCTGATTGCAAGGACTGGGGCAGCGTCAAGGTGGGCGTAGGGCGCAAGAGGCTGGGATACCCCGCGGGGGGCGCGAGGAGGCCCGGGAACATCATGGTGGGCGCAGGGCGGGAGGACTGTCTTCTTCCTGCGGCCTGAGGGTGAGCGCCTGCTTTCCCGCCCCTCGCGCCCCCGCAGTGCCCTCTAGCTGGGGATCGGCAAACGTCTCCAAGGAAGATTTTACTCGGGCGTCTGTGAGTCCTCCGTGGTCCTCGCTTGGAGGTGATGGTTTTATAGCGGCCCGCCCGCTAAAGCGCTTTGAAAAGTGACAGCTCTGACAATGAAGTTCAACAAAGTTCTCCACTCGAGCTTCATTTGCCGGGGGGGGGGCGCTCCCCGCTCTGATTGGCGCAGGGGTGCAATTTATGATTGGATTAGTCTTCATAAGCATGACCCGCACAATGGGCTGGCAACAAAGGCTGGCGGGCATCAATTCTGCATATCGACCGCCTCTTTGCAATACAGTGCGCCCCCAGCGCTCTCTCTCCGGGGGGGATTTTTGTTCCGAAGCAACACTCCGGCTAATTAAATGCCTATTTAGAAGTTTCAGATGACATCTTGCCGCATAGAAAAGGAATTATTTAAAGAACGCACTAAATTTATTTGCAGCTCCCCTGCTGAGACTGGAAAATAAATTAATAAATATTCATGGAACTGAATCTCTCGGCTATCAGTAAAATAACCCTCCCCCCATGTGGGGGGAGGATAATAGAAGATTTCAAGTCAGTGATCATGAAAACGCAGTCTCTCTTTGGTTTACAGCCCTGGCGGTTTCTCTAGCGGAGACATAAAGGCAGATGTGAGGAGAGGGTTAAGCGCACGAGGGAGGGGTGCGGTGCCTACAACCCATGGAGATTTGGAGTGGACTCCTGGATGTGTGGGGTGGGGAGAGAGTCTGAACAGGAGATACTTTCTTCCGAGAGACAGACTGAATTGGAGAGCGTTTGGTTTAGACCCTTTAGACCCAAAGAGTGCAAAACTGATCTTTGAGCAAACTCCCACAGGTTGCTAAAGGTTTCCTCCGCGGCCGCCTTCTCGCACCCTCTGTGGAGAGCTTTGGGCTGCTCGTCTGGGTTCAGAGCGGAGCTGCGAAGGATGGTCCGACGGCTGGGGGAGAGGACTCCACCCCCAGCCGCCCTACGCCAGCCGGGGAGGGCGACCCAGTGCTACAGCGCCACACTGGCCCTTTCCAACTTCAGGGAGCCCTGGCACTTGGCGCTCATATCCACAACTGGGATAGTTTCAACCACGGCAGCGAGGGTCAGGCCGGAGTCGCCCATCCTTCATTGTGGAGCTCCGAACCTGATGGGGTTTTACCCCTTAACTGACTGCAGCACCGTGTGAACACCAAGTGAAGTCAGCAGTTCCCAAGAATGCTGGGTCCACACAAGGACACCCTTAATGGGGCGCCTCAAAGGGATGTCGCTGGGGACAGTGCCTTCGCTTTCCTCCAGGTTGGGGCTAGCGTGGTGCTGAGCCCGGAGCCCCAGTTCTAGCTTCCCTGCTCTTCCAGATAACAGATGTGTTAAATGTCCCATTCATTTCTTTAGTGTAGCTGAACCTCCCCAAAGAGAAGTGTGCAGCCCCGCCAGGCCGCCCTGATCCTATTAACCATGAACTGTCACCTTCAGCTGGTTTTCCTTTTTGCTTTTTAACACAAAGCTTTCTGAAAAATCTTATTAACCAGCTTTATTTCTCTCGCTGGTTTTGTTCAGGGCGTTTTGTGTCCATGATCTCCATGTCGCTGCTTTAACCGTTCAATAAAAGTGCATCTGCGATTTATATCACATTAAACCAGAAATGGAGCCCGCTAAGGCTCTCCCTCGATTCTAATGAGAAAGTTATTTAGGCGGCGCGGCGCCTCTAAGGCCGTGCGGAGCGCTCGTGGTGACGCAAAGGCGCGTCTGAGAGCCCCGGAGCGCGGTGGGCCGGAGCTACTCGAGCAACCGGAGATAGCCGCGCCAACTGGAAAGAAACAACTTGTGAATGACCGTGGGACTCAGACTAGGGAGAGGCCTTGATCGAGTTAATGCATCGGCCCTTGTCAAAGGGAAAAGGCGATCTGCCAAATAACTTGGAAAGTTCCTCCTTTCCAAGTTTCGCTATAAAAAAAAGGGGAGAAAACGGAGCCACTGGACACCTGCCCCTTAACCTTGCAGGGTCAAGAAGCCCTGTACTGTCTCTGGTTTTCACATTCTCTTTCTCTCTCCTTCGTCTTTTCTGGTCTAAAAGCTAAGACCAGTTACCAGGGAGGGCCTGGCTACAAGCGTTCATGCCCGTATCTAGGGAGTTTAGAATCAGGCCTATAGTTAGTATAAAACAACTTGGGTTTCCTCTTGGGGGGTGGCAGGGATGATGGGGGCAGCCTGAAGGCTTTCTAGCGCCCCGCTTCTCCTGGCCTCCTGCTCTGCTAGGGACGATATTTGCCCGGGTGAAATTTTTGCAGTTGTTACTCTCCCCTGTTGCTTCCTTGCACTTCTCCCTCACGCCTACCCCCCCAACACACACCCCTAGGGCCCTTCTGCAGGACTACAGCCTCTTTTACTAACTTCTTTTGCTTTTAAGATGAGGAGACTGGCTTTTTTTTTTTTTTTGAAGGTGGGTCAACCGCTTGCTGCGATCCACGTGGATTCCCGCTTCCTGCAGTCCTTCTCCTAAAGAATTCCGTCGGCCCCAAAGTGGGCAGGGGGAGGGCTGGTCGCCCGTGAAAAGGCGGAGTAAATCCCAAGGAAGCAAGAAATCGCAGGAAAGGATCTTACTTCAAGTGATCTTGACCGAGTCTTTTCAAACCGTGATAGCCTCAGGGGCCGCGGGCGTGGCGGCTGCGCTAAGACCTGTGACCAATGCCGTTTGACCCGAGCCCACGGGGTTTTGTGCGGCCTGACAGTCTTTGTTATGTCATTATCTTCAAGTTTATTTCAGAAAAGTCATTCGTGTCCTTGATCTCAGGGCTGGGATTTCTCTATCTCTTCCAGGGAAAGAAGGGGAGAGAGAGGAGGGCAAAGGAAGGAGCACTGGGGGTTCAGGTTTGGAGTTAAGCAGTGGCTGGCTCTGGGAGCTTGGTTCTCTGGGGTAGGAGAAGCAGGTGCGTCCCAACCTTGTGGTGCTCTTGCACCCTGGTCTCTAGGCCAGGCGGGCCCTGAGCCCTCCGGAAAGCTCAGGCCGAAAAGGCAAGGGAAAAGGTCAGCATCAGTTTCAGGGAAGAGTGGTCCCCAAGGCATCTCTTTGCACAATTTTGACCCGCTGGCCTCAGATCTCCCCGTTGTTACTCGTCTAATAAGTCCCCGCAGGCTTTGCAAGTCTGGTGGGAAGCTGGTGTCTGGGAGAGAAGCTCAGGCCCGCCAGGCCTCTCATTGCTCCGGGGAGGAAGAAGAAGCTGCCAGGCGCGGGAAAGGAGAGGGCCAGCGAGGCTGGGCTGAAAGAGCCTTCCTGACGCCAGGCGCCTCTCCACAAGCCGCTCTATTAAGATACCTTTAAGGGGTTCACCTTTAGAAGAGGCCACAGGGAGCAACTGGTCGCCCAGCCCTTTCCAGCGTCTCCCCCCCACTCCCCATTCCTTTCACACTCATTCCCCTCTTTTTTTCCCCCTTGAAAATCCTTCTATTGTGCCAATCAAGCAGATGGTTTGCAGGAAATATAGCTTGGCCTCGCTGACCGAAACTAATTTTAACTAGCTTTCCAAGCCTGAAACGTTTGTTTTGCTCTTACAAAATAGCCCCCAAAACAGCTGGCAAGGGTGAATTAAACCCATTAAAGACACATTTATAAGAAATTATATTCACATAGATTGCCTGAACCCCCTTGTGCAGCCTAAGAGGGGAGATGAGCACATTTAAATGAAAATGTCGCTGAACGCTCTCCTCCTTAACGTAGCCTGAAAGTCTCAAAACATTTTACTAAATAGATTAACTTGACTATTGTCTTGCATCACATTTATCAGCTTCATTAAGTGAATAGCTGAACAAATATATTACGCATGCATGAAAAGCTCTTTTTCGAAGAGCCCCATTGTATCCTCAGCCCTGACAGGTGGTTAACTGTGTGTTGTGTTTTTTTGTGTTTTCTTTTTTTTTTTTAACTGGAAGAAAAAGGGTCCGGGTAGAGCGGTGCAGTGCGGGCTGGCCTGGAGTTTATTTCACTCGCTGCATAGAGGTTCCAGTGCCAACGGTAGGTATTAACATCTACAGCAGTGGAGGGAGGGGTAGCGGGTGGATCTCAACCCGCTCAAAATGTCCCAGATGAAATTGTGGTGAACAGGGCCGAGTGTGTTCTTCCTCCCCTGTCCCTGCTCCTTGTCTTGGAAATTAATTTTATGCTGTTTCCTTTCAAATCCGGTGTTTCTTTTCTTCCCCTAAAAAGCAACAACAAATAAACCCCAAACCAACCAAACAACACCAGCAGATCACTTTAAGTGCCTGTCTTCACTCTCTCAGGCCACAGGGGATAGATACCTTTTGAGGCCATGTTTGAATCCATTTTACTTTATTGTATTATTTTCCTTTAGGGAAAGCCTTTTTTTCTCCTGGGCCTTGTTGGTCTTGTGTGTGTGAAACAGGATTGCTTTAAAGGACCCTTTCAGATCTGACCCTCTACACCTTAAAAAGCAGTAGTAGCAGCCGCCGTCCTGGGCACTAACATCTAAGTACTCAACTGCTCCAAAATGTGGCAATTTGAAGCGATCTAGAAGCTCTGTGAGAGGGTGCAGAGGAATGGGGAGGAAACCTGGTTATTTGCTTAGACCACATCTAAGAAAACCCTATGAGGCAGTTCCATTCTGACACACTCACTCATGCTGTGAGTGGGACTAATTCAATGGCACCCAACCCACAGTTTAAAACCCTATATCTTTTAGTGGCCTAACAGAGGGGCCCTGCGGCTCCCAGTCCCTGGGCCCAGAGGTCCCAGTCAGAGGGACCGCATATCGGAGCTGTACAGTCATGCTCTTGGTAGAGAGGAGATGTACAGTGTACTGGTGGCTACTGGACAGCTCCATTGGCCTCAGACTCCTAGCTTGTGCTCCTCCTGGGGTCTCACAATCATTTGAGCCCCCAAAGCA